TTAGGAGTCTGTTTCTGTAACTGGACTGGTTCTGTGTGTGCTGCCCCGCACTGGCAGCGTGGCCACCATGCCCAGCCCACCCTGGGACCCTGGGCACAGCAGCCACAGCATTTGAAGGTGCACGTGAGAGACCCACAATTAAAGCTGGAAACAATTTCCCTTCCTTGCTCCTGCCTCAGCAGCGAGGAATTGCTGTTAGCACAATGCATCACTCTGGAGGACCAAAGTGGCAGCACATTTAAGGCAAAAATAACTGTTTTAAAGGATGCAATAAAACAGAGCCAGGGAAGGGTTTATAGGGAAGCAATTGCTGTGTGGGGTGAGAAGTGGTCACCAGAGGCCAATCTGCCTGGCTTTATTGCCTGTTACTGGTGACTTTTCCCAACCAGGGGACAATAGATCCTCCACTATCAGCCTCCACTTCAGTCAATACAAACACGACATAGTTTTTTAAACTAATATTTTTCCAGCATGCAATTCCATAGAGAGTGAGAACGCAGCGTTACCATGGCAATATATAGACAGCATCTGCCTTGGACGTAGCTGAAGGGAGAAATTGGAATAGAATTGCAAATTTCCTCTGTCCAGGAAAGCTCCCAAGGAAGCCACTGCAGTAAGCTGGGTGGGCTACCTTCCCAAGCCAGCCTGCATGCTCTCAGTGCCCAGCACTATCTCTCCCAAGAACTGAGGGCTGCAGGGCCAGCCAAGCACTGCCCTGGCTGGACAAAGGTCCTGCATCTGCTCCAGAGCTCTGCAGAGCCTGCACAGACCCTCTGCAACCAGACTGCTCACTGAGAAATTGCCCGGGCACTTCAGGGAAGGGAGAGGTTGACTTCCTCAAGGTGCTTCCTAAGAACAAGCTTTACCTGAAGCTCCTGAAAGGAGAAGCAGCCCAACAACTGGAGTGGAATGCAGGAGTGCTGCTGTGATACACCAGCCTGGCTGCTGCAAGGCATTTTGATTAACTGGTGAGAGGTAGATGCAGGTGAATGGATTAAACATGCTCTGAACAAGAGCTTGCTGCTGGAATTTGGGCAGGGGATGGTTGGGCAGTAGGCAGGAGTGCTGCAGGTGCAGCCTCCCTGGCATGGTGCTCCCACACCCAAAGGCTGTAGCTGAGCACCCCTTCCCTCCAGCAATGCAGACAGAGGGATGGCAGGCTGGCTACAGACTGTGTGGGGCCCATTTCAGCACAGGTAAATACCCAAAGTTTGGGAACAAGGCAAACAGAAGCCCCATTAAACGCTGAGGCAGGGACCCTGGAAAGGAAAAGCCAGAGCCAAGGGGGTGCAGTGATGGGGACCCCCAAACCCAGCTCTGCTGCCTTCCACATGGTGGGAGGGACACAGCACAGCCCATAGTGAGATGGGGAAGTTCAGCTTGTCGGAGAGGAGTCAAAAGGGGCAAGTGGGGCAATTTTCAGCTGTCAGCCAAAAAATTCAATAGCAGGAAAGAGCGACACACCATCACAGTGAATTCATCCCTACAAGCAAAGAGCTGGGCTGGAAGCTGCCATTTGACAGTGGCAAATTTGCACCGATCCTGCTGGCATGGGGAGACCTATCCACCTCCTCAACAAGGCAGCCTGCTCTTCAGAGACACTTCCAAGGAAAAGAAGAAAGAAAAGAAAGCAAATGGGGAAGGAAATCCTGACCTTCTCTCACAACTCCTCTCTGGTGGCTGAAGCCTGAGGGACTCCTGGAAGCAGATAACACTGTAGTGCTGGAGGATTATCACCCCTCATCCTGCCTACAAAGCCTTCAGGCCTCTGTTGTGCTTGCCAGAAGTGTAGGCAGGAGCACAGGCATCTGTGAAAAGTGCCCAGAGACTTTGCTGCTTCCCACCTTGCTCAGCCCCAATCCAGTCAGAGGACAGGTACATAACCCCCATTTATGTTGGGTTGCAGACTAAAAGGCCCTTAGGGAGCAATGTCCTCTGCCCTGGTACAAGGGAAGAGGGGTCCTTTGTCCCGCCATGCAACCATCACTCCTGGTCCATCCTAGACACTTCTGCAGCCCTTACTCTCTTACCAACAGCATAGCACCCACCAGGAAGATATCACAGGGCAAACTGAAACAGAAGACAAGACAATTTTTCCCCAGCCCATGATTCTCCAAAGTTGCAGTGACTCTGCAAGGTAAGTAATGCCCTGTTCTTCAAAGGATAAGGGTGTGTTGCAAAAGCAATGGAGCACAGACCTCATCACAGCATGCTGCTGACCGAGTCCCCACAGTGACAGTGCCAGCAGCCTGGCTGCAGAAGCAGCACTGCCCTGTCCAGGGGCTTGACCCATGCCACATGGGGCTCAGCCAGGTGGGAGGCTGGAGGAAGCCTGGAGACTCTAAACACCACACTGGCATGCAACAGGCAAGGAATTCAGCAGCAGGGACATCACTGCTCACTGCCACTGTGGGATGCACGGTGAGGTTGGCATTGCTCATGCTGTGCATCTCAGGGCTTGGGAAAAGAGGCATGCAGTGGAGGGCACTGGTAAGAAGTTGATGACTTCCCACAGAGAGCTGACCCCTGGAGAGAGCAAGTCCTGAGCACAGCCCCTGCTGCAGACTCCCCTGTGGCTGCCTGCTGACCTTGCTGCATTGAACACTGAGAAGTTGGAGACTGCAAGGTTGCAGCCTGCTTACAGGGAATTGAAACTCACTTACGAGCTGTTACAGCAGGATTTCACTGCTAGGAGATAGACCTGCTCTGCACAGACGCCCTCCAGCACCTGCATGGGTGTGCAAAACAGCAGGAAGTAGTTATCCAGCAGACAACACCCACGAGAGAGCAAGCATGTCTAGCTCAGTCCAGACAGAAGATCCAGCATCTCCAGCTGCATTAAAACCCAGAAAACCCAATGCTGCTGACTGGCAACAGGCATGGAGGACCAGGTCAGTGGAGGCAGAACGGGAGACAGCAAGCAGGACCCACCTCCAGAGTGGGAGAGATGTCCTGCCAGAGCAGGAGAGAGACACCCAGCAAGGGCATCCTCCATTAGCTCACTCCAGCACTGCTTCATTTGAGCAGTGCTGAGCACCTGCCCAGCAGGCAGAGGTGGGGGACTCGATGCCAACCCTCCCGCAGGACCCTGCACCCAGAGCTGATGCCAAGGACCCCATTAACCTCACCAAGAGGCAGAAAGGGCTACTGCAGGCTATGCATAAACCTTCCCTCTGGCCTGGGCACAGCAGAAAGGGGGATCCTGTCTCAGACCTCCATAAATTTGGTCTATAGGATGGCAACTCACAGCAGCCTGGCTGCCGTGCTGGGTAATAATCATTTGTATGAGGATAATTATGGTGGGAGAAAAGAAAACTCCTCTAAAGTGGTCTCCTGCAGAGCTCTTGATGCTGCATGCTGGGTGCAGCCCTGGCAGCTGCCAGGCTCTCTGCAGTCCTCGCCTGCAGGGTCTTTGCCCATCTGCAGGCAAAGGGCACAGTCAAACTCCAGGAGCTGCAAACAGCACGGCACAGGGACAGGAGCACCGTGTGGCTGTCCTAGAACATCTCCTGCAGCTCTGCTGCCCAAGGAGGCAGCAGCTCAACATTTCCCTGCACTGCAAAGGGGATGTGGGAGTAGCCTGGCCCCGAGGGCTAGACAAGGCAGCTACTATGCCACTGTGCTCTATTGCAGCTACTGTGATGGGGCAACTGCTGCTACTGAGTAGAGGAGATAGGCTGGGGACAGCCCTGCTCTCCTGCTGAGACTGGAAGTGTGTGCCAGAAACCTGCTGCCAGCAGCAGGTTGGACACGTTCAGCTCATGCTGCTCTCCCTGCTTGGCCACAGAACCCCAGGCAGGCAGACCTGCCCAGCCAGGCACAGCAGCAGAGGGCCCCCTCCTGCTAGGGGAGCTCAGCAGGCAACACGGGACCCACACAGCCAGCTGGACCTTGACTGTGAGAGCCAAGCCTTCCTCATGGGAGACCGGCTAAGAGAGCCAGGGACACCTCCCAGCACCCCTGAGAACGTGGCAAGGGATCTGATGAGCAGTGAGGTGCAGCCACAAGGGGACTGGAGAGGATGGGTGAGCTGTCTGGCTCACGATGGGTGATCTGCACAGCTGAAGGTTGGTCACACCGCGGGGGACCCTCAAGAGGAGCTGAGGCAATGGGACCTGATCCTAACACGATGTGGAGCTCTCCCGGGAGAGCTTCCTGGGGACAAAAGGGTGCCCAGCACAGGTAGGGGCTTGGGGTGACAGAAGCCCTCAGAGAACCCCTGTAGCTACCCCGTGACAAGTCACTGGAGGGGTGGCCACACACCTGCTGGGTGGTGCCATGAGGCTCGTGGACACACAGTCCATTCTGGGCTGCCCCAGCCCAAATGTCCCCCAGAACAACCCACTCCCTCGGGCACTGCTCTAATCCCAACCCCGCTGCACATACTTCCACAAAGACCGGCACACGCGGGTTCTTGCACATGCCGGACCCCTTGCACGACCCTCACACAGAGAAAGGGTTACACACACACCGTGCCCCAGCAGGCTCTCACACACACCCTGCTCTCCACCTCGACACCTCCCTCAGGAAGGGCACGACGCACATAAACTCACCTAAGAGGCCCTCGCACATGTATCCTCTGGACGGGAATTTACAGACACACAACCCCCGTGCGTAGCGGGACACCGCACATCACCCACCCCACCAGGTTCTTGCACACGCACCTTTTGGGCGGCCGGCCGTGGCCCCACGGGCATTTGCACACGTTCTGCCCTTAGCAGACACGGTGGGCACTTGCACACCCCCCGGACAGGCTGCTGCACACCCCGCCGCGGACAGCCCCTTGCACACCATCCCCGGACGGGCTCCCGCACACGCTCTGACACGCTCCCGAGCGCGTCCCGCACCCCCGCGGGGCTCTGCCCCCGCGGGACACCCGCTCCCCACGCGCTTTGGGACACCCGCCCTCGGACAAGCCCGCGGCCCCGGCGCCCCGCCGGGCTCCCGCCCGCCGGCCGCCGCACGCCCAGCGGCGGCGGACAAAGCGCGGCGGTACTCACAGGCGCTCGGTGCCGCGGGGGATGCTGCGGGGCACGGCGCGCAGGGCCGAGCCGTGGCAGTCCACCGTGGTGCCGCTGCAGGCGCACAGCGGCGGGCAGGCGGCGGCGCGGCCGCGGCACAGCGCGGCGCACGCCAGCAGCCAGGCGGCGGCCCGCAGCCCCGCCGGGACCCCCGCCGGCCCGCCGGGGGTCGGGGCCGCCATGGCAGCGGGCAGCGGGGTCAGGCGGTGCGGCCGCTGCGCATCACCGGGGAGAGGAGCGGAGCGGGGCTCGGCTCGACGCGGCGCGGCTCGGCTGCGGGGCAAGAGCCCCGTCGGCGCACACCCGCCCACCCTCACTGCCGCCCCATCCCGCAGCCCAGGCTCAGCCCCCGCGCTGGCTCCTCCTCCCCGCCCTGCCCGCCCCGACGGGCCCCCCCGCCGCCGCCCGCGCCCCTCCCCGCGCCCCCGGTACCCGCGGCGGCGGTCCTGGCCGCGCCGGGCACGGCACTCCGGCCGCCGGAGCCGTCGGGGCTCTGCACCGCTCCTCCGTGCAGGAAGGTGGGCTTCGGATCGCTCCCCCCACCTGGGGCAGCGGGCTGCGTTCGCGGAGCGCCCGAGTTCTCCGGGAGAGGCTGCGGGCAGCGGCGCTCCGGGGAGAAACAGCCTGCGAGGCGGGCGGCCGCACCCGGCTCCCTGAAAACCCATCCCGCCATCCGCAGAGCCCAGGTGAGGCACCAGGGCCTGGCACCGCACGGGGACCAAGGGACAGGCTGGCGCTCGTCAGCCGGGATGGTGCCCGGCCCGTGAGTGGGAATCCCGCGGCTCAGCACTCCAGCCTGCAGGAGGGACTCGGGTGGCAGCTCTGCTTTGCTATTTTCCCCACGCACAAACAGCAAATCTTGAAGTCCTGGCTGTGGCATTAGCTGTGTTCTTTTCCGTTCCAGAGGAACACCTTTAAAAATAAAGTAACCAAAATGTCTTTTCGGCTAACCTACAGGGAAGAACAAGGCAAAATACAACTATTTCAATGCAAAAGGAAGTGAAGCCAAGAAATCTTGAAAGTTTGGCCCTAAACAGCTGACATCTCGGAAACACAAACATTGCATTCATTTTATTGCCTTCCATTTTTCCCCCTGAGATCTGCAAAGGCAGGAGGGTGTAACCAGGAGGGCGTGTCACCTGTTTAAGTAATGACACCTGACACACTTGTAACCCCATGGCTCCAAGTGCTGGGTCCTAAAAAAACAACAGGTACTTTGCTGTGCCCAACACAATTCTGGCTTCTGGCAGCAACTGCTACAAATGTCCTCCTCAGAGAGGAAATCCATAGGAGGAGAGGACATGGGAGCCTCTTGCAGTGTAGGAGCACACTGGGAGTGTGGTGTGTGAGCATGGACACCCCAGTGCAACAGGGAATGGTGGATATTTGCAGGGATGGTGGCAGGTCCCAGGGGCCAGAGTGCCTCTTAAATCAATGCCCTCTGCACATGGAGCTCCACAAGCTCTTTAATCAGGGTAAGAGAGAGGTGTCTGCCTGGGGTCCTGCTCCAGCAAGGGCCACCTCACACACACACAGGGTTGCACCAGCTTGGCCCAGATCAGCAGCTCTTTTCCATCCCAAATGCCGGCTCCCATCATCTGTCTGCATTTTTGTGACATCTCCTTCCTCTGGCCCCAGTCCCAGGAGGAAGCTGCGCCTGAGATGGATGAAAGGGGTTTGTTCCTCGTTGCTACCCAGCAGCCCTGACAGCAAGGAAGATGAGCTGCTTCCCAGGACTCTGGGAGCCGACCCCTTGCTGGCATAGCTTCTGCAGAGGTGTCCCTGCAGCCTGTCCTGGGGCTCCCAGGGAGACCCTGGTGGCAGTGGAACCTGAAGGGGTCTGAACTGTAGACCTTGGCTGAATTTTGGAGGGCTGAAGGTTGTTTCAGAGTGGCTTGGTGGCCCCCAAAGGCTGCTATCAGTGCGATGCTTGTGACAGCCCTCCCTCACAAACTCCCCTTCACCCCTTGGCTTGCAGAGCAGAACCAGGTCTTCCTAACCTGCCCTTTACCTCTGGTGCTGGCAGGAAGGCAGGAGGGAGTCAGGGATCTTGTTTCCTCCATTTTTGCAGTACTTGCCGCAGGCAAATACTTGTGATCTGTAGAAAAAGCAAGTTCTGTCCATCTCTGTGTCCAGCTGCAGCAACACGCAGTCACTTCCACGGGCTGTGGTCTTGGCAGAGGGAGTAGCTGGCAGGGCTTGCCTGGAGCCCACCATCACCTGCCCCAGTTCCAGTGGGAATACAGGACTGGGAAGCTGAAAACTCCATTTCAGGCTGACATCCACATTTTCTCCTGTAGGTACCTCATCTCCTGCTGTTCTCTGTGAGCTTTTTGCCTCTGCCTGCCACGCAGCCAGTGCCCCATGCCCCAGCAGCACAGTGCATCCCACTGAGCTGGGCTGCCAGCCGTGGCTGACCCCTCAGTGTCTGCTCCAGCTGTAAAAGCAACACCCTTCCAGGGCTGCCAACACAGCAAGGGCTGGCTGAGCCAGGACAGCATGTGGGGGGACAGGCTGTGTACCAAGACCTCAGCCCCTGGTGCATTTGGGTGATCCCAAGTCACCCAGGCACCCTGATGGAGTGGGCCTCATAGAGCAACAGCTGCCTGGGAAAATCCCTGGGTTCCTCTGAATATGGATGAGGAGCAGGGAGGAAAATAAACCCCAAACTTCTTTATCAGGGGAGGCCTGGTCCTGCCGTCTGCCACCGGGATTTGGGCCAAACTGCTTGATAGAGAGAGAGACCATCTGGATCGTCTGATGGGCTCTGGGTTTGGTTAAAATGAAGCAGAAGCTTTTTTTTGTAGGAGTTTCCATGGGAAGATCCGGGGAAGGGTTCCAGGGTACGCGCCAGACCTGTCGTGCAAAGAGATGCGAAGCAGCTACAAAGCTTCAAATAAAAAATTGCTGCCAATTTTAAGCCAAGCCCCCCAGGGCAGAGTCCTGGCATTTCCTCCCACCCAGGACAGGTCACAGGTCGCCCCTGTTAGCTCTCACATGGGCTGGGCTGGCACTGGGTCCCATGATAGCAGCATGTCGGGGCTTCAAGGCAGTGTGCTGTACCCTGGATTTGGGCATGTGGAGGGGAGGCAGCACACCCTGGTTCATTTGTACCATGCTTTGAAGAAGTGCTGTGGCTATCACCTGTCCACAGCAGTGCTCAGCCTCTCTCAGGGTGGAATTAGGCACTGCTGCAGAGCAAAAGTGTTTAAAACACATGCAGTAGGGTTCTAGTGGGTTAATTGTTGCTGGACACCAGGTGCCCCCCAAAGCCACTCTGTCCCTCCCCTCCTCAGGTGGCCAGGGGAGAGAAAATATAATCAGAAGCTTATAGGCCAAGGTAAGACCAGGGAGAGATAACCAGTTACCAACAGGAGCACAACAGGCTTGACTTGGGGAAATTGGTTGAATTTATTACTCATCAGATCAGACTAGGATAATAAGAAATAAAATCTAATCTTAAAAAACACGTTTCTCCACCCCTCTCATCTTCCTGAGCTCAGCTGCACTCCCAGTTTTCTCTACCTCCTCCCTACCAGTGACATGAGAGGATGGGGAATGAGAGCTGTGGTCAGTTCATCACACTTCATCTCTGCTGTTTCTTCCTACTCAGGACAGGGACTTCTCACATTCCTCCCTTGGGCATCCACTGGCTCTAGTGTGGGGTCCTTCACAGGCTGCAGGTGAATCTCTACTTCACTGTGGACCTCCATGGCCTGCAGGGGTACATCCTGCCTCACCCTGGCCTTCACCACGGGCTGCAGGGGAATCTCTGCTCTGGTGCCTGGAACACCCCCTCCCCCTCTTCTTTCAAAGGTCAGTGCAGACACACTGACCTTCGTGTCTGCAGAGTTGTTCCTCTCACATATTATTTCTTCTCTACAGCTGCTGCTGGTGCTCTGCAGAAACTTTTCACTTTCTTACATACATTATCCCTGAGCTACCACCATCGCTGATGGGCTCAGCCTCAGCCACTGGTCGATCCGTCGTGAAGGTGACTGGCACTGGCTCCATCGGACATGGAGGAAGCTTCTAGCAGCTTCTCACAGAAGTCCCCCTGCAGCCAAAGCCTTGCCACACAAACACAACACAAGCACGTGTGCATGGCGCCTGATCCAACCTCCCTGCTGAGGAGCATTGCCAGCTGCAGGATCTGTCATCCCTCGCACTGGGGCTGTGCTTTGAACCCTTCCTTCCACCAGCAGCACCTGTCTGGGGAGCAGTGGCCATAAGACCCAGCTGGAGATGTGTTGGGAGCAGAGTGGCCCTAACCTTCGGCTTCTAAGCATCCCCCAGAGATTTTAGGCAGGGTGGGCTGCCGGGCTGTCCTGGGACACATCTGTCATGCCTGGCCAGCTTGGCTCATGCTGGGAGGCCAGGCTGCCTTTGTCCTGGCAGACACACTGGGCTTGGGAGAGCGAGGCATTGTGTGGGAGCAGGCTGGCGTGTCAGCCCCATTAGGGTACCTATTGGGCTCCTGTAGCACAACAATGCCCTTGATGGGTCTATTATAGAGTGGTGGGGGCAGCTGGGGCACTGGGATCATAGTAAATCTTGCCTGGTTAGCAGCAGCAGCAGGCAGGGCTGGGATGTGCTCTTTCCTCTGTCCTCCTAGGGACAAGACCTCCCTGTGAATGTGGCCAGCATTACCTTGCCAACTTCCAGCACTGCCCTGTGAGCATAGCCAGCATCACCTGCTAGATCTGCCAGTGTTGCCCTGTGAACACCACCAATATCACCCTCCAAACACGGCCAGCATTGCTCTGTGAAGGTGGCCCCACTGACTGCAGGAGCAGGGCAGCTCCCCTGCTTGGCAACCTCCACCATTGGGACCAAGTGAAAGGAACAGCATCCATTGACTGCTTTGAGATGGTGCAGGAAATGCCAAGACTCCCAAGCAGGTGGATTTGGCCCCAGCCTAACACAACAGGGACCATTCAGGTAGGGGGAACCCAGTCTGTCTCACTGCCTTGAACAATTGCGGAACAGCAGGAGGATGGTCCACAAGGCTCTGCATCCCTGCTTTGTGGCGTGGCTGAGCAGAGGGGCTGAGCCCTGCAGCCTGGCTTCCCAAAATCAGCTCTAGACCACAAGGAGAACATTTGCACAAAGCAGCCCAGCTGCAGATGAAGAGATGCTGTTCCCAGCACGGCTGGACACACCGACCGCCTGGGAGCTCCGCGGCACAGCGCAAGCTGGTTTGAATAAACCACACGCGAGGAGGTGTCTGTGAAGCGCCTTGCACATGGAAATGCTATTGTTGGATCAGGGGCTCCAGGGCCCCCAGATGTAGCAATTGTTCCACATCCGCACTGTGCATACAC